TGGCGCACATCTGTAATCCCAGCGACTCAGTGGTGGGGGGTGGTTGAAGCAGGAGGACTGCAAGTTTGGGTCTTGCCCGGACAACTTAGTGAGACCCTGTCTAAAAAAAAAAAAAAAAAAAATCTAGCATTTCCCTGAGCATGGTGGCACACACCTATAATCCCAGCAACCTGGAGGACTGAGGCAGGAGGATGTCAAGTTTGAGCCTTGCATGGACAATTCAGCAATTCAGCCAGACCTCGTCTCAAAAAGGACTCCATGCTGAGTACCTGGGTTAGAGGGCCTGAGTTCCAGTTGGTGATCTTAAACCCGCACAGCTCCTGTGACAGGAGGCCACTGTCACCAAGCAGTTCCTGTGCTCTGCTTGTCCATGAGAAGTTCTGGACTTCTGCTTGGATCCTCATCCTGGATGAACCAGGAACCTTTAAAAAAAATTTTTTATATTGTATTCTTTATTAACATGTGTAGAAATGGTGCATTATACTCAATTTACTTGACTGTATTTGTAGAAGCATTTTTATTTTTAAATATGAATTTTAATTAATTACATCTATTGGCACAAGAAATACTTTTTATTACATTTATTGGTACTTTTTTTTTTTTTTTTTGCTTTTAGAAACAGGGTCTCGCTCTGTAACTCAGGCTGGTCTTAAACTCACTAGGTACCTGAGGCTGGCCTCAAATTTGTAGCAATCCTCCTGCTTTGGCTGCCTGAGTGCTGGGATTAGAGGCGTGCATACCACACCTGGCTTTCTTCGATGTACAACACATTCATCACAGAGAATTTGTACCTGTACATGATATATCTTCCTTATTTTTCTCCTTCTCCTACCCTCCCTTCAGTCCCTCTTCCTCTCATTTACAAAAGCTGTTTCCATTCGGGAGACTATTTTTTCCTTCTTATTTCCAATAAAAGTCTCCTAACCTCAAGAAAAGGGGATGGCTAGGGACGTAACACATGTCAAGGCCCTGGGTTCAGTATCCAGTACTGCCATAAGTAAATAAGTAAACAACTTTTTATTTTCTTTTAGTGAACAATTTTTTAAAAGGGCTGGGATGTAGCTCAGTGGTACAGCACCTGTGGGTTCAATGGCCCCAGGCTCCCAGCTGTCCCTGGGCCCGTGAGGCCTTCTCCAGAGGGGAGCTGCTGTCTTCTGCTTGTGCTCTGGCCCTGGCCCTGTCATCTGTGTCATCCAGGACTCTCCAGCATCACAGAAACTCAAAGCATCCACTCGGGAGGCCAGGATGTCAGGCCGGGCCCAGCCTCCTGCTTCCCGTCCAGACCTTCTCCTCTGCAGCTGGCAGGGTGGGGGAGCTGCCCCACGCCCCGTGCAGGCCGTCCCTGCTCTGGGGGTGCTAGGCTTTCCCAGTCCTCTCACCTAAGCTCTGAAAGGAAGAGAGGCTCTCCTGAGTTCTCCAAAGGGCCTTGCCAGGCCTGGCTGAGTCACCTGCCCACACCTGACCCACTCCCCGAAGAGGGACCTGGGCTCGTGCGCCAGTCAGAGTGGGGACTGCTGGAGCAGCGGCCAGGAAGGGCACGGGCTGACAAACCATACATCCTCCCGCCACAGCACGTGCGGCGTCTCCGCTGTGGGCCCTCGTTCGCCCCAGGGACCCAGGGGCTCCTGCTGAGCACCCACAGCAGCCTGTATCCTGTTATCCTCCCACCCACCCACCCACTGTGCACGCATCCGTCCATCCACCCTCCTGTCCACCCACTATCCCGTCCATCTGCCCATCTGCCCTACCATTCCTCACACAACAATCTCTGGAGCACCAACTATGCTCTGGGCACGGAGAAGCCAGCAACCACAGGGTGGAAGGAGGGGTGGAGACCTGAAGGAGCCCGGGGTCAGCAGAGGGGCAGGGCGTCTCGGGGACTGGGTGGGGAGGGAGTTGGCCTATGCAGGTGCTGCTGAGAGGCTTGGTGACACTAAGACACACCGGCCGGATGGCGCGCAGGGTTTGCGTGTGACCCCAGCAGGAGCAGAGGTGAGCAGCCCTGGGAGGGAGAGCAGCGTAGAGGGGTCTCTGGGACCAGGGACAACGCTGACCCGGGGTCAGTCCCCAGGCGCTGACGGTGCGGGAGGGCAGCGAGGCGGGAGGCGGATGCCAGGCCCGGAGAGGTCTCGAGCAGGGAAGGGTGAGGTGAGGGGCGGCCGCGGCGGGGCCGCAGCAGGAGCAGGAAGGTGGGGCAGCCCGGGGTGCCTGCGAGAGCGCACAAGTTTGCGGATCGGCTGTCTGTGGCCGGAGTGACAAGTTGCCCGTTCTCCCAGCTCCTGGGGATGCTGAGGCAGCGTTTTGAGTTTGGGGCAAGACCGGGCAATTTAGAGCCTGTCTCAACACAAACATGACACACACAAAGGGCTGTGTGTGGACGCCATCCCAGCAGGAGGAAACGGCTTCCTCCTGGTCGGGTTTTCAAGGACAGAGGAAGAGGGGCTGGGGACTTCTCCGAAGTCCACAGTCAGGCCGTGGGGCCATTTTACGCATTCCAGGCAGGAGGAAGCTGCAAGTTTGCAGGCCAACGGGGACTCTACGCGTCACTGACACCTCACTAGCGCTGGGTCTGCTGCCTTAGTCAGGGGTGCGTTTGTTCAAAGAAAGGGAAGGCTGGGGCCTGGGGATGGAGCTGGGGGCGAGCAGGCACGAGGTCCTGGGTTCATCCCTGGCAGCACTGGGGACGGGAGCGGAAGAGAAGGAAGGACGGGAGGGAAGGAGCCAGGAAGGTCAGTTAGTCCATTGAGGCATCCACGGTCACAACCCAGCAGGAAGTGGCCTTGAGCTCCTCCGGGTACCGTGTGTGTGTGTGTGTGTGTGTGTGTGTGTGTGTGTGTGTGTGTGAAA